TCCAGGCTGGCCTCGAACTCACAGAGATCCGCCTGGCTCTGCCTCCCGAGTGCTGGGATTAAAGGCGTGTGCCACCACCGCCCGGCAAACTTCTAAACGAAGCATCTACTGGACATGCCATTAAGACATCTCACAGGTAGCCTCGGATCCAACACGTCCAAAGTCTTTAGTTTTCTAGTGTTGTGGCATCCCCACTCTGGCATTATACAACTGACTAACCCCATGTGTCCACATTGATCCGGTTTCCAGCATATGCTGTTCCACCTCTCATGTTTCTGCTTTTCCCAAGACTGAGGGTGAGGGCATCCCCAGTTCTCACCGCCATGATGGGGAGTCTCCAAACCATCTGCTGTTTACTCTTTGTTTACTCACTTGGCATCCTCATCAATCCACTCTCTAATCTGAAGCCAGAACCCTCTCACTGACAGGCAGAACTGACCATTCACTCACTTAACACATATTTATTTACTGAGCAGCTTAAGCATGGGCCAGGTACTGTGCTGGATCTATGGTCCATGATGTCAGAGAATTTGCAGTTTCACTATAGAGGCACATGAAAGTGTTTAAAACAGATTATTAGAAAAAGTATAACTAGTCTAACTGACATGAAGTGAACATGTAACAAGAGCATTAGAAAGGATGGTGAAGGGAAACCTTTCCTGAGGGGCGCTGTCTGGAAGGTATGGAGAGGACAGCTAGGACAGAGAGTGAATGCGCTATTTGGCAGGTGTACAAAGGCTCCAAGGTAGGAGAGCAGCAGGTGCAGAAGAGCCTGAGATCCATCCAATGTAGCCAGTGCATTGAAATTGCACTGACTTCCGGTCAGAAACCTTGCAAGAGTCCCGCAGGTGTTGCACCAACTCCCTACGTCTCTGTCACTTCCCACCTGGCCTTCAAGACCCAGCTCTCCTGTCTCTCCCAACAGTCTGCTCTAGCTGACCTCACTTCTGAAGGACTCCTGTCTCTGTTTTCAACCCTGACCAGATGTGCTGTGCATGGCTCTAACACAGTAGCGGGCGCACACAATGGCGATTCCCCTTTTCTCGTGTTGAGTGTGCCCCCTCTGGGCCAGCAGTGTCCACTCTGTGTCAATGTTACTCCAGCTCGAGAGAAGGTACCTGGCAGCCAGGAAGTACTCCAGGGAGACCCTAAGTGAACAGAACTCAAACTGGCCTCAGTTTTGAATAAAAACAGTCACAGAATTTGTTTTCTCACATTTTTTTAAAAAATAAGGTTGAACTAAACCAAGCTCTGGAAAACTAAAGCATTCAAATATAACCAAGTCATCCATGCATATTCCTTCCAAACTGAACAGGACCGGCACAGGGAAAACAACCCACTTCCATGTGGCTTCCACTGGAGAGGATGCCATTGGTTTCTCTGCTAAGAAACTCCTGGGTGTGTGCAATGGTTGCCATTCTGGTCCACTGTTGGGGACAACAAACAAAAGCAGAGTCAAAGGACAGAATGGTTCAATGGACACTGACACCTGCCCCCAAGAAATCTAGTCTCACACTAGATCATGGTGACTAGGATCATGGTGACTGAGAACATCACTGCAAAAATAATCTCACCCTTCTCTCCCTTCTCTCCGCAGCCTACTGTCGTCTCAGGATGAAGTGGAAGGGGAGTGTATGTGAATGAATGTGTGCAAGCCAGAAACATGAAAACAGAGAGTGTGAGTGTATTTCACACACTCTCGTGGTAGCATCTCTTCACAGTATAACTGAATTATCAGACAGATTTTATTTATAAAATTTATTTAGCATTAAAGATCTCTGTGACAGACAGAAGGACTGTGTAAACACTCGATTTTACTTTGAGTGGCTAGTTTTGTTCCTTCAGTAAACCCACTGATGAACTCTGTTAGCTGATAGCAGTAAGACAGGAAACCTAAGAAATGATGGAAAAAGTGAGATGGTGGACATAATTACTAAGCAACCCCAGCAGATTAATCTTTCATTCTCTCTCTCTCTCTCACACACAGAGAGTCATAAAAATGACTTGTAGGGAAATCACACTTATCAGATTTTTCTATCTCATTGCAAGATGAAGAAAAAATGGAAACAAAAATACAAAATAAATTCTGGTAGTTTGAAATTCAGATGTTATTAGCATTAAAGATCTCTGTGAACTCTGGAACTGAGTAAACCCAGTAAACTCCGGAAACACTTCGAGATTTCCATTTTGAGCAGGGCCTCTTAGAAATGACGGGGAAACGCGGACTTCTGTTAAGTACACCTGACATGATACAGCGTTAGACCCGCTCGATGGTCTAGCTCTAAGTCTAGAACAACTGTATAGGAGACTGAAATAGGAACAGGTCCCTTTTCATTTTATGTAAGATGGCTAAAAAGTTCTTTCACTAAAGTTTGTTCAATGAATTCCCAAGTTGAGCATCAGTTTCGACACCTGGGAGTCAGCCATTCTCTGTGGGGCAGGAGCAGCAGAATGTAAAGAGACCTTCTCTTGTAAGTACTTAGAAAAGCGTCCTCTTTATCTCAATATCAGCAATTGTTATGGAAAATGTCATTCTCTGGAAACCAAACCTCATTCCAAGGGAGGACTGAACATCTATCTACCTTTGAACGCTAAGGCAGGAAAGTAATGATAACCCACTGCACCGCCTGGAGGTTGGGGAAGAGAACCAGGAACAAGGCACTGGGAGGGCTGGCCATTAAAGGAAGCTGAGTGTCTCCATACAGTGAAGCTTGTATAAGAGGAGGATACAGATAGGACTTCATACAGGACTAGGTGTTTTCCATGTTCAGATACCAA